AATGACATATAGTCACATAAGCTTAACAGGCAGCAATATAACCAATTTTGGGTCAATTTCTGTACACATCAACTGGCCTAAGAAATTGTTTGGTGATAAATAAATAATAGCAGATTGTGCCAACATGAATAAACTTCAAACATTTTGTGAAGAAAAAAGTGAAAGTTTTAAAAGCTATGTAAAGTTTGAAAAACACACAAAACTCTGCATACATAGGTAAAAGTTTTAAAACAGGGAAAGGAATGTTACTCATCAATTTTAGAAGACTGATTGTCTTTGGGGGGAGGAAAATGAATAGGTAACATTTTATTTTTTAAAATAAATATTTAATAACACCCATTAGAATGGCTATTATCAAAAAGTTGAGATAACAGATGTTGGCGAGAGTGTGGAGAAAAGGGAGCCCTTGCACGCCGCTGGTAGGATATAGATCGGTGCAGCCATTGAGGAACGCAGTATGGAGGTTCCTAAAGAAATTAAAAACAGAACCACCTGATGACCCAGTGATCCCTCTGGAACTGAAACCACCACCTTGTAAAGGGATCTGCACTCCCATGTTCACTGCAGCATTGCACACAATATCAACGACATGGAAACAACCTAAGTGTCCTACAATGGACAAATGTATAAAGAAATTGTGGTATACAAAAAAATGGTTACATTGTATAATGCTGAGTATACTAATTATCCTGATTTGAGCATCACATATTGCACATAGGTATTGATATTTAACGTGGTATCCCACAGATATGTACAATCAATTATGTTTCAATAAAAGTAAATAAATAAAAGAAATTGTGGTATACACACACACACATGCACACACAATGGGATATTATTTAGCCTTAAAAAAGAAGGGGATCCTGCCATTTGCTGCAGCATGGATGAACCTGGAGGACGTTGTGCTAACCGAAATAAGCCAGACACAGACAGATACTGCATGATCTCACTTATATGTGGAATCCAAAAAAATAAGAGTCCAGTATGCAGAGAGAATAAAACAGTGGTTACCTGGGGCTGGAAGAGAATAGGGTTAGAGGTAGGTTAAAAGTTACAAAGTAGCA